ACATTACTGGGAGTATTATTGCTGTGGAGCTCTATTATACACTGACACATTACTGGTAGTATTATTGCCGTGGAGCTCTGTTATACACTCAGACACATTACTGGGAGTATTATTACTGTGGAGCTCTGTTATACACTCAGACACATTACTGGGAGTATTATTGCTGTGGAGCTCTGTTATACACACAGTCACATTACTGGGAGTATTATTGCTGTGGAGCTCTGTTACACACTCAGACACATTACTGGGAGTATTATTGCAATGGAGCTCAGTTATACACTCAGACACATTACTGGGAGTATTATTGCTGTGGAGCTCTGTTATACACTCAGACACATTACTAGGAGTATTATTGCCGTGGAGCTCTGTTATATACTCAGACACATTACTGGGAGTATTATTGCTGTGGAGCTCTGTTATACAGTCAGACACATTACTGGGAGTATTATTGCTGTGGAGCTCTGTTATACACTCAGACACATTACTGGGAGTATTATTGCTGTGGAGCTCTGTTATACACTCAGACACATTACTGAGAGTATTATTGCTGGGGAGCTCTGTTATACACTCAGACACATTACTGGAAGTATTATTACTGTGGAGCTCTGTTATACACTCAGACACATTACTGAGAGTATTATTGCTGGGGAGCTCTGTTATACACTCAGACACATTACTAGGAGTATTATTGCTGTGGAGCTCTGTTATACACTCAGACACATTACTGAGAGTATTATTGCTGGGGAGCTCTGTTATACACTCAGACACATTACTAGGAGTATTATTGCTGTGGAGCTCTGTTATACACTCAGACACATTACTGAGAGTATTATTGCTGGGGAGCTCTGTTATACACTGAGACACATTACTAGGAGTATTATTGCTGTGGAGCTCTGTTATACAGTCAGACACATTACTGGGAGTATTATTACTGTGGAGCTCTGTTATACACTCAGACACACCAACAATATGGAGCTCCTAAAAAAGAGGGACTGAGGGATAAAATTGGGACTGTCCTTCCTTAACAGAGACACTTGGGAGGTATGCCTGTAACGTATGTCGGCATGTAGTGTTGTAGTAATGGCAAGCTAGGAATGGGTTAAGCTCTGTGTCTTGGACCTGAAAGGCTCACATTTCAAATTACTACCATGTGTCTGACTTGAAGAGAAATCGACTTACAGCCTCTCTGGGAGAACAGAATGAATTACATAAAACTAGGCCGAAAAAAAATATTCACATAGAGATAGTGTGAGAAAAACTGAGATATGTCAGGGGACAAAACAACGATGGAAGTAGGAAGAAGCCATCACAATGAAACTGAAGCAGAGAAAGGGTTTATTTCCTACAGAGTGTGATTGGAAGAAAATGGCCTAATTATTAATTTTAGCTGCTAGAAAGATGATCCCTTTCATATTCTCTAAAGGTAGGTACTAACGGAATGTTAGGGATGCAGGGTAAGTACACTGCAGCAGACAGATATTGTTGTGGCATTAAAGCACAGATAGTTCATAAATTCTGCGCCAAAGCCTGAAATGCAAGGCTTAAAGGGACACTATGTGCTTTTTAACTGATTTATCTCATTGTAGTGGTTATAGTGTCTGGAGTCCCTTGGCATCATCCTTCCATTCCATGTTAAACCATTTCTAATGTTTTAATATTAAACAAGTCTCCAGTAGCCCATTCCCTCTGTGCTCTCGGGTTAATGAGGAAGTATTAACCTGAGCAGCAATGTAGCTGTGATTGGCTGAGTGTCAGCTGACAGCTTTCAGCCTATCACAATGCCCATTGCTAGTATGAATCGGTATCGCTAGAAGGAAGTGTGTAACCTCTGCCTTAGCCACACCTCCAGTGGGGGTGGAGCTATGGGAAGCCATGGACTCTCATTCAGTGTAAAACTGCTCTAAAATGGTTTTACAATAAATGGAGGGACTTCGGCACTATAACCACTGCAATGAGAGGAAATTGTTATAATGCCTGCATTGTCCCTTTAATGTTGGAATAACAGGGGAGATCATCTTTTCTCTACATTGGTATCTAAGGAGTGTCTCTTCCTATATAATCCCACATTTTAAGATGCTAGAGCTGACTGTGCCTGAAACTTATGTTACATGGGGTTTACGGCTTCACTTAATGAGACAACAGACTCCAAAATTACCGATATCACCAGCAAAGGTAATGGTGGAGGGGGCGTTAGCTGCGTTGAATTGCACAATATTACTGTGTCTGTCAATGGGAGAAGATGTTATACTCCGAATGCACAGATTGTCCTAATTAAAGAGTTTGGGAATTCTAATAGCGTTCTACAAGACAACTAGTAGCAAAGTCACATATCTCCAGCAGACAGCTTCATTCATGAATTAATGGACAGGTGCTCACATTAAAAATAATGGTAGAGATCATTCAGTCACTGTCTTGTCTGTTATAGGTGTGTGTTATTGATACATGTCACCCCTTCCAAATGGCCTAACAGTCACCAGATCAACAAATAAGAAAGTAAGACTTTTACTTCACTAGAAATAGGGATTCCGAAGGACTCTTATCAAGGTCACAGCGTATTTATATGCGCTCCCCCAAGTGTCCCTATGCAGATACTTCTATCTTCTTCTACATTCCATTTTAGTTGTATACATTGTTATTAGTAAGTCACCTAAGATTTCTTAGAACAGCCCCGCCCCTGACCACACCCACACACACATATAGAACAGCCACACTCACACCACCACTCACACTTAGTACACCCCTGGCCACACCACCACTCACATTCAGTATAGCCCTGGCCACACCACCACTCACACTCAGAACAGCCCTGACCACACCACCACTCACACTTAGTACACCCCTGACCACACCACCACTCACATTCAGTATAGCCCTGGCCACACCACCACTCACACTCAGAACAGCCCTGGCCACACCCCACCCCTGGCCACACCACTAAAATGAAAGTGTCTCTCTTTGTCCATGTACGTAGTATGTACGTGACCCAGCCAAGAATCTCTGTATTGGAGCATTATCCTGCGCTACCCCTGCTGTATGCAACAAGAGTTCATGGACAATGTAGATTGCTCATAACGGAACAGCGAATACATTAAATGACAATACTGTCCTTCAGGGGTAAATGCATGTAATATAGGGACAACTTATTTTACCAGGCTGGCACAAAACATCGTCTTAATTATTTCAGATCCGCCCTTTAATGATGATGTCACCTATTAAACCATAACCCTGCTTATGGGAAGGATGGGGAGTGTGAGTCACATCCTCACTTCCAGTTATATTAAAATAATTGGAACGTCGACAGGCCGCATTAGAGATTTTTCTTCCCTTCATTATTATACGAAGGAAATGTCAGAACCGCTATCTTCCTGCGATAATCAAGGATTCGTTAAAATTAGAACAATAGGCGTTCTATATGAAGAGCGATTCTGGAGCAATCGCCATAGAAACCGACAGGGTGTTCCTGCTCATTTATTTTGCAGATAAATGAAATTAGCATAGTTCAGAGTCTACATCTTGACCAGGATCATAAAATTCCAAGATTAACAGTCACTGGACTCAGTTATAAGATATAGAAATGTTTACAGCGGTGGAGAGCAGGAAGAGGAAAAAACGCAGCGCTATTATATTATTGGATATAATTAGTGAAGCTAATCTCCCATAATGCTTTGCATCTTGGCCATCTTTTTTCCATGATTCCCTGCAGGAGCCACCACACTCACACAAGTTATACAGGGAATCATGGGACAGTTAGAATTTGCATCAGATGCCATGAGGTGTTATAACGACTGCCATGAGGTGTTTTAACGACTCATGCAAATCGGTGCATTTGATACATATTGTAAAGATGGAGGCTGATAAAGATATACGTTAAAACACAACTATTAGGTAACCTTCTCAGTTGTAAAACATGTCCTTACCTTTCTAGACTCAATTCATTACTAACATTAAAAACGTGGGGGATACTGTGCATTTGCTGCCCAGCTGCTAAGAAAATGCAGGGGGACCCTGACACCGTCTCCCCCATGCCCCCACCTGTCAGTATGTTGGTTTGTTTTTTTTTAGTTTTTTTTTATTGACTAACAGGGTTATTCATTAAAGGGACACTATAGTCACCAAAACAACTTTAGCTTAATGAAGCAGTTTTGGTGTATAGATCATGTCCCTGCAGTCTCACTGCTGAATTCTCTGCCATGTAGGAGTTAAATAACTTTATTTATAGACCCTAGTTACACCTCCCTGGATGTGACTTGCACAGTCTTCCTAAACATTTCCTGTCAACAGTAATCTAAAGTTTATCATTCATTTATTGCATGTTCTGTTTAATTTAGATGTTCTTATCCTCTGCTATGTTAATAGCTTGCTAGACCCTGCAAGAGACTCCTGTATGTGATTAAAGTTCAATTTACAGAGAAAGAGATACAATTGTTTAAGGTAAATTACATCTGATTGAAAGTGAAACCAGTTTTTTTCATGCAGGCTCTGTCAATCATAGCCAGGGGAGGTGTGGCTAGGGCTGCATAAACAGAAACAAAGTGATTTAACTCCTAAATGGTAGTGAATTGAGCAGTGAAACCTGAGAAGCATGATGTATACATTAAAAGTGCTTCATTACGTTAAAGTTGTTTAGGTGACTATAGTGTTCCATTAAAAAAGGTTGATAAACGTGGCTCTGATGCATATATAATTGGTGGTTTCTATGCAATCTATGGAACTGCGTCACTGGGACGTAAGGTTTTCATGAGAGCACAAAGGATTTTGTGTTTCTATAAAATAAATTTAAAAATGCACTTTTTAAAAGTGGAAATATAAATATAAAGTGTATATTCTGAATTGATTTGCAGTATGTATAGTTTCTGCACAGCTTTGTTACAATAAAAACATTGATAGCAGTGGCTACCAGCCGAGCAAGATGGCAGCTTAAAATTTTGCTCGGACAACTGGGCTCCTCAAAACAGCATATTTACCACCCCCGACACCTTTCTCAAGCCACCTCACTGACCATGTCTCACTCCAAGCAGAAGAGACAAGCTAACAAAGCCGACAAGCTTTACTTCTTCGGCCAAAAACAGCACTCAGTGAACTTGGCCGCACAGACACCATCGCAAGATGGCGGCGATGATCCAGGCAGTCCACTGCTAGAAATGGACGAAACATCACTGGATGACACACTGACTAAACAGTTCTTCTTAGACCACCTGACAGCGCAATCTAAACAATTAATGACAAGCTGGTCGGAAAGCATCGAACGAATACGCAAGGATATAGGGGACATCGGGATCCGTATATCCCAAATAGAAGAGAAAATGGAGGGGCATGCAGAAGAACACAACGGCCTGGAGGCACAAGTGCGCACACTACAATCCGACCTCCATCTGTTGGAAACTAAGCTGATGGATGCTGAAGACAGGAGCAGAAGGAACAACTTACACCTTATTGGCATCCCGGAATCACCACGCGGACCTCCCTATATTCCTCCACGAATTCCTGCACTCTCTACCACCCAACACCCCAACAGATATGCTACTGCTTGACAGGGCGCACGGGGTGCCTACACCGCAACATCTCCCTGACACCGTCCCACTATTACCACGTGAAGGAGCTGATCCTCAAGAATAGCAGAAAAAAAGATAACCTACCAGATAAATGTAAAAACATCCTAGTGTTCCCAGATCTGTCAGCGGCAACACTGCGAAAAAGGCGGGAGTTCCAATAAGTCACCACAACCCTCAGATCGCACCAAATCCTGTACCGCTGGGGATACCCCCTGAAGCTTCTCATCTCATGGAACGGAGCTACCACAGTGGTGTCGGACCCCAAAGGAGGACTGCAAACCCTCTGCAAATGGAGCTTGACACCAGAACCGAGAAGAGACAGCAGGACGACCATAACGCCAGAATGGAGGAAGGTCTCCTCCAAGTGAACTTCTCGCTCTCTGAACATAGCGAAGGGTCTAGTGTACCAAGACTGGTAATGTACATAAACACCCACCATACTCCCATCGTCATCCACTGATATGTCCCACTTGTGTATGCAGACCCCACACATAAGCACAGCATGCCGCAGCTTACTCCACATGCTGGGAGACCAAAGCACAACCCGGTTGAGTAACGGGTGGCTGTCTGGCCGGTTTTCCAGCAACACATGTCACATGCGTGCAAAGTTGTTTGCAACACTAAGCCTCTGCCACAATACAGGCAGGATGACCAACTACAGTGGGATTTCTGAGCCACAGTGGACACAGGGTGCAAAACTGTCTTGGTAATTAGACTAGCCCTTCTGCTAATCTTGATTTTCCTTCTATGATGTTATTGTTCTATATTACTATGTTAGTTTATGGTGCAAACTGTTTATTATGCTGCGCATAAGGCCCAAAACATTGATAGAACTTGCCTTCCACGCGAACACGGTCAGCTAGGCGGTCTCTGATTTCTGGGTTCAGTGGTGAACCCCTCAGGGTGCTCCATAGGCTGGAACCAAGAGCGCAGAGACCGGTTTCCCAGAGATTCGGGACTATATAGGGTTTCATTAAACACTGATCTATAGTGAATTAATAAACACATTGCAAAATGTAGCATAAAATAGCAGAATAAATAAAAAAAATCTACAACTCGACTATAGTAACAGTTTGGCTCTTTTAGCCTGAATTTTTTAATTCACTACAATTTCGTGTCTAACCGTTTCGTATAGAAATCCCATAAAATTGACTCCTAATTAATATTCTAGGATATTAGATTTCTGACGTCTTTACCCTCTGCCCGATCCCGTGAGACATACTTTTTCCACCAATTATTGTAATGATTTAGATTGATGATTTAATTTCGCAATTCCCCCTTTGGCTAGCACCGCAGGATGATGGGCAGCGTTCCAGTGTCATATCTGCTTTCTAGGCAAAATAATGTTTTCTGTGAATTGTTTAATAACATAGTAATGTTTGTATCTTGTGGCAAACCTAGCCACTCGGACTATAACTGGACACTATGCCTTTAAGGGTTGCCTATAGGTCTGGAGAGAGATGCATTGTACCTGTATGTGCCTGTTTCATGTATTCCCTGCATTGCCTGTACTATCTGTTCCGCCGAATGCAAATGGCGGTTTGTATGGGGATTTCCGTTCGTTTCGCGAACGGCACTTTGGAGGGCCGTTCGTGAAACGAATACGATACCCCCTAATAGCCCACACACTTAGAGGCGTGTGGCGCTAGTTAACCGATTGCAACATTGTTGCAATTGGTTATTAGAGGCTCTCCTGGGTGGCCGTCGTTCGACTACCGACCATGCGGCGAGCGGCCATCTTGGATCCCTGGTTCATCAGCGGGTTCGTGTCGTCGAACGCATAGCATTCCCAACAGTTATTCGACGGCACGAACACCGTTAAGCCTCCAGGGCGTTCGGGAGTTTCAGGACCAGGTTCATTAAAGACAATCGGTTCTTTTCATGTGTTTTGAAAGAAAGTTGTTTTGTGTGCGGCGTTCGGTTATTTTAGCTGGGATCTGAGCGGCAATCTCACGAATGATGCGCCCAGACCCCAGCTATCTACCGAACGTCCATTCGTGTAAATCCACCGTATATTGTACCAACTGTGGATTTTTGTGTAAATTGCCGGTTCTGCTGCACGAGGGGATAATCCCCTTAACGGTGCATTCTGGGAGGATGATCCCTCTCGTGCAGCGGTGCCTGATGGGAGAAATATGTAGTACAGTAAGTCCCCCATGTAGTCCCCCCCTGTACAACCCCTGTAATGTCTGTTTGGAAACCCCTTGCATGGGGACTTGCATAAATACTGTGACCTGTGATTAAAACCTCAGTTGACTCCCAGCCTATGTGTCGTCTAGTTCTTGGGAAGGAAGGGTTACTGCAGTGCTGTTTGGATTATTGTATGCTGATTCCCTGGATTATCTTTTGTTGTTCCTGTTACCCAGCGGAGATATCGTGGATCATACTGCCTCTCCGCTACAATTGGTGGCAAGCGACGGGATTGAATTTACACAGCAAAGCAACGTTTGGCAGATTTTTAAACGAATCAAGGAACAAGCATTCGGGAATCAGCGCATTCGAATAAACCTCACGAACAGCAGGTGAATGGGAACAGACTACACCCTGCTAAAACGGAGCACATTAAAGGAGCTGCTGGAAGCAATCGCCAGTAACAAGGCAAAGGCTGTCCTAATTACGGAGCTCATGGAAGGAGACAGAGCCGCAGCTGCTGCAGCACCTCAAATGGAGGGACAAAACAACGAATTTACAGCGGAATTCCGAGCACGACTGGCTTTATTTCCTGAACCACCATCTACAGAAATGTTTAACCGGCTGTTCGCCGATGTACAGGAGTACATTATGGCTAGGGGGCCGCCAGGAAATCAGCAAGCCAGAGAAAGAGCCGCAACGCCAATCCATAGTTTCCCAGGGAAAACCAAAATCCCATATCAAGCCTTCAAAAGCTATGTGGAGACAGAGGGTGGCGTTGACGACTATTTACAGGATTTCGAGAGACTGTGTTTGCTGCACAAGATTAATGATGCAGACAGAGTACCCCTACTAGCAGGGAGATTATCTGGGCGAGCCGCCGAAGCGTACCGGGCAGTACCAGACGAGGATAGTAGAGACTACGCTAAAGTAAAACGGGCCATCCTAGCCCGGTATGCCATCACCTCAGAGGCATACCGAAAGAAGTTTCAGGACATTAAAAAACCCAGTAAGGACACCCATGTGGAGTGGGCGCACCAGCTACAACGAGCTGCCAAAGGGTGGCTGGAGGCCGCCCAAGTTGATACATTGGAGGGTCTGTTCCAGCTAATGGTACTGGAACAATTCTTCAATGGCGTCCCGATCTACCTACAAAACTGGATCCGGGACAGGAAACCACACACCCTGCAGGAAGCGGCTAATATGGCAGACGATTTCCAGGACAATCGGAGAGATCAACCCATACCAACCCGAGCCACCATCCCCCCTACAACGGCCAGCCCTCCAGGGTGCCCCGCAACGTACCAGCGGCCAGGGGTAAACCAGAATTCCTACCCCCCCAGATATTCAGCACGTCCACCAATCCGGTGCCATACCTGCAACCAACAGGGGCACATCCAGAGAGACTGCCCACGGAACCGGCCTCGACCTAGCTGGAATAACGCCACCCCGAGCAACCGTGCCGCAGTCCACTGCCTACAGGCCGAATCCGACCAAAATCTGGAGTTGGGGACGACCCGGGAGGAACCTCTCGGTACTCTACACGAGGTGAACCCTATCCAGGCCGCCTCCGATAACCGCCAAGGGCACCGCCAGGAAGTACACATGGAAGGGAAGAAAGTACAAGGACTTCGTGACTCGGGAGCCACCCTAACTCTAGTACGCAGTCATCTGGTACCAAAGCCCAAGCTCACGGGGGACTGTGTGGCTGTGCGGGTGGCTGGGGGAGCCATTTACAAAGTACCCACGGCCAAGGTGCACTTGAATTGGGGGGCGGGGCACGGGAATGTATATGTGGGGATGATGCAAGACTTGCCAGCGGATGTGATTTTGGGCAACGATTTGGGGGAGCTGACTTCGGCTTTTGTTCCCCAACCCACCGTACAAGAAGCATACCCGGTTGTGACCCGGCAACAGGCCCGCACCACTGCACCATTCGAACACTCTGAGGCTCAGGTAAGCAATGACCCTCCCCTACCCCCTACCCTGCCCTGGGCCAATTCCATCGAGTTCGGGGCCGAAGTAGCCCTAGATCCTTCGTTACAGGTGTACAAAGACCGCATGGATAAAAATCAAGCTGGGTTAGAGGGGGAAAGATATATCTGGGACAAAGGGCTACTATATCGGCACGCAGAGAAGGTAGTGTCCGGGTCAATACCGTTGCCCATTAAACAGCTAATAGTGCCTCGAAAGTATAGGTTAGAGCTGTTACGCATAGCCCATGATATCCCCCTGTCTGGACACCTAGGCATCAGTCGGACCAAGCACAGGCTGACCCAAAATTTCTTTTGGCCAGGTATTTCCCAGGATATTAAGCGGTATTGTCAGACCTGCGATACCTGCCAAAGGGTAGGCAAGAGGGGGGACAGATACAAAGCCCGACTACGGTCTCTGCCCATCATTGAAGAACCATTCAGTAGGGTGGCAGTAGACATTATAGGTCCCCTCGCAAAACCCAGCCCCTCCGGCAAGAAGTATGTCCTAACTGTGGTGGACTACGCCACCCGGTACCCCGAGGCAGTGGCCCTAACGAACGTACACGCAGAAACGGTAGCCGAGGCCCTGATGAGGATATTCACCCGGGTAGGATTTCCCCGGGAGATTATCTCCGATAGAGGCACCCAGTTTACTGCGGACGTGACCCATCAGCTCTGGAAAATATGTGGGATACAACAAATCCTCAACTCCCCATATCACCCCCAGTCCAATGGGCTCTGTGAACGATTTAACGGAACCCTGAAACAAATGATCCGCACGTTCATGGACACCCAAAAGGACTGGGAGCGGTTCTTACCCCACCTACTGTTCGCGTATCGAGAAGTGCCACAAGAATCCACCGGATTCTCTCCGTTCTAATTATTATTCGGGAGGAGAGTGAGGGGACCTCTTGACTTGATACGGGAACACTGGGAGGGAGACGAAACCGTTAATGGCACCCCTATCTTACCATATGTGCTCGAGTTCCGGGAACGCCTGGAGAGGCTAACCCAGACCGTCCGAGACAATCTCCAGGTAGCGCAACAACGACAGCGCCGATGGTATGATAAGGGAGCCAGGGACCGCAGCTTTCAGGTGGGGCAGAAAGTCCTAATCCTGCGACCCGTCCACAAAGATAAGCTGCAGGCTTCCTGGCAGGGCCCATACAAGGTGGTGGAACAGATCTGTGACACCACCTATGTGATCGGCCCGGTTACCGGCGTGGGAGGCAAACGCATGCTCCATGTGAACATGCTCAAGCCGTACCACGAACGGACGGAGGAAGTCACCGCAATCTGTGCCCCTGCCACGGAAGATTTTGATAACCTACCCCTACCCGATCTCCTAGACCAAGAGGGCCAGAGCGGAGATCTGGGAGAGGTACAGTTAGGAGAAAGATTAAATACCCAAGAACGGGCCCAGGTACAAAAGTTGCTTCGGGAAAAGAAGGCCACGTTTTCCAATTTACCCGGCTATACCCGTTGGCTACCCATAAGGTAGAAACGTTAGATTCGACCCCCTTGCGCCAACCCCCCTACCGCACTCCAGAAGCAGTCAAGGAGAATATGCGCAAGGAAATTGAGGAGATGATTCAGCTAGGAGTAATAGAGCACTCGGACAGCCCCTGGGCCTCCCCGGTAGTACTGGTGCCGAAACGGGACGGGACGACCCGTTTCTGCGTAGACTACCGACGGCTCAACGATAAAACGACCTCTGACGCATATCCCATGCCCCGAATAGACGAACTCCTCGACAAAATGGCCAGGGGTCAGTACCTAACCACTATAGACTTGTGCAAGGGGTACTGGCAGATTCCCTTAGCGGACGACGCCATCCCTAAGTCGGCTTTTGTCACCCCGTTTGGCCTGTATCAGTTTAAGGTCATGCCATTCGGGATGAAAAACGCTCCAGCTACCTTCCAGAGAATGGTGGACAGACTGTTAGATGGGTTCCAGGAGTATGCCTGCGCGTATCTAGATGATATCGCCATATTCAGCCACTCCTGGCACGAACATCTGGTTCACATAGGAGCCATTCTAGACCGAATCCGAGAGGCCGGACTGACCCTAAAACCCAGCAAATGCCATATCGGTATGGCGGAAGTCCAGTATCTGGGACACCGGGTAGGGAGTGGGCAACAGAAACCCGAACCTGCTAAAATAGAGGCAGTCGCCCAATGGCCTACCCCTCGCACCAAGACCCAAGTGCTCGCCTTTTTAGGGACCGCCGGGTACTACCGGAAGTTTGTGGCCAACTATAGCGCCCTCGCCAAACCCCTCACAGACCTGACCCGCAAGAACCTCCCTAAGTTAGTAGTCTGGGCCCCAGAGTGTGAGCAGGCGTTCCAACAGCTCAAGACGGCGCTGGTTAATTCTCCTGTACTTTCTGCTCCTGATCCAACTAAACGCTTTCTCGTCCACACAGACGCTTCTATGTTTGGATTGGGAGCAGTACTGAGCCAAGTTGGACCCGATGGCGGCGAGCACCCCGTAGCTTACCTAAGCCGAAAACTTTTACCCAGGGAAGTAAGCTACGCCGCCATTGAAAAAGAGTGCCTGGCTGTGGTGTGGGCCCTCAAGAAGTTGCAACCCTACTTATACGGGCAACCCTTCACTTTACTCACGGATCACAACCCGTTGGTGTGGCTGAACAGGGTGTCCGGAGACAATGCCAGGCTGCTGCGCTGGAGTTTGGCGCTGCAGCCTTTTGACTTTACTATCCACTACCGCCCTGGGAAGCAGAATGGCAACGCCGACGGGTTGTCTAGACAAACCGACTTGGAGCCGTGATTCGTGAGTACTCCTCCGGACATCCCCAAGCCGATCCGTTGGGATCAGACTGTGTATGCCGGCTTGGTTCTGGGGGAGCATTGTGGCAAACCTAGCCACTCGGACTATAACTGGACACTATGCCTTTAAGGGTTGCCTATAGGTCTGGAGAGAGATGCATTGTACCTGTATGTGCCTGTTTCATGTATTCCCTGCATTGCCTGTACTATCTGTTCCGCCGAATGCAAATGGCGGTTTGTATGGGGATTCCCGTTCGTTTCGCGAACGGCACTTTGGAGGGCCGTTCGTGAAACGAATGCGATACCCCCTAATAGCCCACACACTTAGAGGCGTGTGGCGCTAGTTAACCGATTGCAACATTGTTGCAATCGGTTATTAGAGGCTCTCCTGGGTGGCCGTCGTTCGACTACCGACCATGCGGCGGGCGGCCATCTTGGATCCCTGGTTCATCAGCGGGTTCGTGTCGTCGAACGCATAGCATTCCCAACAGTTATTCGACGGCACGAACACCGTTAAGCCTCCAGGACGTTCGGGAGTTTCAGGACCAGGTTCATTAAAGACAATCGGTTCTTTTCATGTGTTTTGAAAGAAAGGTGTTTTCTGTGCGGCGTTCGGTTATTTTAGCTGGGATCTGAGCGGCAATCTCACGAATGATGCGCCCAGACCCCAGCTATCTACCGAACGTCCATTCGTGTAAATCCACCGTATATTGTACCAACTGTGGATTTTTGTGTGAATTGCCGGTTCTGCTGCACGAGGGGATAATCCCCTTAACGGTGCATTCTGGGAGGATGATCCCTCTCGTGCAGCGGTGCCTGATGGGAGAAATATGTAGTACAGTAAGTCCCCATGTAGTCCCCTCCTGTACAACCCCTGTAATGTCTGTTTGGAAACCCCTTGCATGGGGAATTGCATAAATACTGTGACCTGTGATTAAAACCTCAGTTGACTCCCAGCCTATGTGTCGTCTAGTTCTTGGGAAGGAAGGGTTACTGCAGTGCTGTTTGGATTATTGTATGCTGATTCCCTGGATTATCCTTTGTTGTTCCTGTTACCCAGCGGAGATATCGTGGATCATACTGCCTCTCCGCTACATATCTCATTTATCATGTTTTTGCCAATTTAACCTCAGCGTTGTATTATCCAGACTGGATGATTTCAATGCCTCATAGAGATAATGCATTCAAAAACAAACACAAGTACTTGCTGTAGGGACCAGATTTTTCAACCAATTTGGTTCTACTCCTTAAAGTGCCCATAAAACCATTAGCAATTGAGAGCAGTTTCATTCATAAAAAAAAACATGAATGAAACTACTCAGCAAGATATTAACTTACCAAGTAGCTTAATTCATGTTGTTTTCATGAATGAAGCCACTCAAGGTCGAATACCTGCATGGCTGATGTACAGTCTCTCATAGAACAAATATGAAAGAACCTTTCATTGAATTGATCTACATTACAATCCATTGGGGCGCAATGGACTGGTCTCATATCACACAGCGGGGCACACCATTAATTTACGTTTAATTCTTATACCCGGTGTGATGGTGCCTGATTTGCCCCATTTAACCCCTTAAGGACGAAACTTCTGGAATAAAAGTGAATCATGACATGTCACACATGTCATGTGTCCTTAAGGGGTTAAACTCTAATCTTATTACTTGAAAGAGACGTTAAGAGTTAAAATCTATCTAGTGACACAATGTTATTCTAACCTCCTCCCCCACTTCGACTCTTATCCGGAAACTTCCATGGTGCAATGAGTTGCATGCTTGGCACAGTGCCCTCTGGAGGGAGCCGCTGATTACCACGCAACTTGGGGACAGGGAGCGGGAATAAATACTCCAGGAATCCCAGCTCTGGGCTGCCCTTCCTTCCTTACAGTAAAGAAAGAAGAGTAACGTTGGAGATCATCCCTTACCGAGCTGGCTTCATAGCTCGCCCAGTGTCAGCCCTCTCTGAGTACTTTAATCTGTTACCTCTGTCTTGGAACAAATAACACCTTCCATTCGAGTCCAGTGTCTGAGCTGAACAAATCCCGCAAACTCCAACACTGGAGGATTTTCCTCAATCTGATTTAATACGAAGTAACCCTGATTGTACATTACTCACATATGCTGCACACAAATCTCCCAGGGCACAGTTATATTAGTTATAGCACCAACAAATGCAGTGCAGTACAAATGATGGACTAATAAAGTCGCAACACGGGAAGTTGGATGTGCAGGAAGAGACGGTGCTGATCATGTATACCTGCACACGCATCTCAATACATGCATCACATGTTTACCTGTACACGCATCTCAATACATGCATCACATGTTTACCTGCACACGCATCTCAATACACGCATCACATGTTTACCTGTACACTCACTTCATCCACTGCACACACTGCATCCTTGTGGCTGGACCCAGGGAGCTTTGTAAGGGCCCCGGGATTTCTGGAAGACCAAACTGTCATAGTTAATTCCAATGGACGGCGCTACCTGTCCGTACCGCTATCTCCTTACTGGTTGCCATAGTTACTGCCAATGGATGGAGCTACCTGTCCTTACCGCTATCTCCTTACTGGCTGCCATAGTTACTGCAAATGGACGGAGCTACCTGTCTGTACCGCTATCTCCTTACTGGCTGCCATAGTTACTGCAAATGGATGGAGCTACCTGTCTGTACCGCTATCTCCTTACTGACTGCCATAGTTACTTCCAGTGGGTGGAGCTACCTGTCTGTACCGCTATCTCCTTACTGGCTGCCATAGTTACTGCCAATGGACGGAGCTACCTGTCTGTACCGCTATCTCCTTACTGGCTGCCATAGTTACTGCAAATGGATGGAGCTACCTGTCTGTACCGCTATCTCCTTACTGACTGCCATAGTTACTTCCAGTGGATGGAGCTACCTGTCTGTACCGCTATCTCCTTACTGGCTGCCATAGTTACGTCCAGTGGATGGAGCTACCTGTCTGTAACGCTATCTCCTTACTGACTGCCATAGTTACTTCCAATGGATGGAGCTTCCTGTCTGTACTGCTATCTCCTTACTGACTGCTATAGTAACTGCCAATGGACGGCGCTACCTGTCTGTACCGCTACCTCCTTACTGGCTGCCATAGTTACTGGCAATGGATGGAGCTACCTGTCCTTACCGCTATCTCCTTACTGGCTGCCATAGTTACTGCCAATCACTGAGCTACCTGTCCATACTGCAATCTCCTTACTGGCTGCCATGGATACTTTCAATGAATGGAGCTACCTGTCTGTACCGCTATCTCCTTACTGGTTGCAATAGTTACTGGCAATGGATGGAGCTACCTGTCTGTACTGCTATCTCCTTACTGACTGCCATAGTTAATTCCAATGGACGGCGCTACCTGTCTGTACCGCTATCTCCTTACTGGCTGCCATAGTTACTGGCAATGGATGGAGCTACCTGTCCTTACCGCTATCTCCTTACTGGCTGCCATAGTTACTGGCAATGGATGGAGCTACCTGTCTGTACCGCTATCTCCTTACTGGCTGCCATAGTTACTGCCAATCACTGAGCTACCTGTCCATACTGCAATCTCCTTTCTGGCTGCCATGAATACTTTCAATGAATGGAGCTACCTGTCTGTACTGCTATCTCCTTACTGGTTGCCATAGTTACTGCCAATGGATGGAGCTACCTGTCCTTACCGCTATCTCCTTACTGGCTGCCATAGTTAATTCCAATGGACGGCGCTACCTGTCTTTACTGCTATCTCTTTACTGGCTGCCATAGTAACTGCCAATGGACGGAGCTACCTGTCTGTACCGTTATCTCCTTACTGACTGCCATAGTTACTGCAAATGGATGGAGCTACCTGTCTGTACCGCTATCTCCTTACTGGTTGCAATAGTTACTGGCAATGGATGGAGCTACCTGTCTGTACCGCTATCTCTCCCTGACAGCCATAGTTACTTCCAATGGACGGAGCTACCTGTCTTTACTGCTATCTCCTTACTGGTTGCCATAGTTACTGCCAATGGATGGAGCTACCCGTCCGTACCGCTATCTCCTTACTGGCTGCCATAGTTACTGCCAATCACTGAGCTACCTGTCCATACTGCAATCTCCTTACTGGCTGCCATGGATACTTTCAATGAATGGAGCTACCTGTCTGTACCGCTATCTCCTTACTGGCTGCCATAGTTACTTCCAATGGATGGCGCTACCTGTCTGTACCGCTATCTCCTTACTGGTTGCCATGGTTACTTCCAATCACAGAGCTACCTGTCTGTACCGCAATCTCCTTACTGGCTGCCATAGTTACTTCCAGTGGGTGGAGCTACCTGTCTGTACCACTATCTCCTTACTGGCTGCCATAGTTACTGCCAATGTATAGAGCTACCTGTCTGTACCGCTATCTCCTTACTGGCTGCCATAGTTACTGCCAATGGACGGAGCTACCTGTCTTTACCGCTATCTCCTTACTGACTGCCATAGTTACTGCCAATGGATGGAGCTACCTGTCTGTACCGCCATCTCCTTACTGGCTGCCATAGTTACTGCCAATGGACGGAGCTACCTGTCTGTACCGCTATCTCCTTACTGGCTGCCATAGTTACTGCCAATGGACGGAGCTACCTGTCTGTACCGCTATCTCCTTACTGACTGCCATAGTTACTGCCAATGGATGGAGCTACCTGTCTGTACCGCTATCTCCTTACTGGCTGCCATGGATACTTTCAATGAATGGAGCTACCTGTCTGTACCGCTATCTCCTTACTGGTTGCCATAGTTACTTCCAATAGACGGAGCTACCTGTCTGTACTGCTATCTCCTTACTGGCTGCCATAGTTACTGCCAATGGATGGAGCTTCCTGTCTGTACCGCTATCTCCTTACTGGCTGCCATAGTTACTGCCAATGGATGGAGCTACCTGTCTGTACCGCTATCTCCTTACTGGCTGCCATAGTTACTGCCAATGGATGGAGCTACCTGTCTGTAACGCTATCTCCTTACTGGCTGCCATAGTTACTGCAAATGGACGGAGCTACCTGTCTGTACCGCTATCTCCTTACTGG